TCACGCGAGGGAAGTACGGCTTCATCGTAGACAGCCATAATGTCGACCGCCCCCGGCCCCAACTGGGGAATGACAGTGAGTACGTGCGAATTGAACTTTAGCTGCTCCTCCTGGTTTCCCGGGGTGTCATGGAGGAGTGTCCCTTCGACTTGTAAGGATTTGGGTTGAATAACGAGCATGCTTTGGAAAGAACAGGCCAAACTTGCCTCCGAACTCACACGGCGGATATGCTGTAAACCGGTCTGCTCAAACAAAACAGTCCGAGAGTCGAGCGCCTGGATGTCATCTAACGTCTCTTGAACGGATGCACTCGGCTGCAGACGGACGCGCAGAGGGTAAGACGCAATGGCCGGGCCGGCCATTCTCTCGACTCCGTCGACGGGGGCGGTGCGCCCGGAAACAGTTGTGCCAAAGACCACATCGTTGGAGTTGGTCCGTGATGACATCACAATTGCCCAGGAGAGCTTGATCTTGTTGGCTAATGTACTTCCATGTGCATCCGGGTGCCCATGAAGGCGCACCTGGCGGGTTATGGAGGCGGTCGCGCCCGGCCTCACCCATCCGGGCGGGCAAGCCGGAAATACTGGCGCTTCCAGATCCCGAAACTCCCTCGACCAGAATTCCATGGATGATGACTTGTTTATTTCCGAGATATATTTGACAAAGCGACTCAATGATGCGCGTGGGGGAACAGAAACGGATTTGTATCCGTCGTCGATATCGCCGAGCAGCTGCGAATATGACCAGCCATCGAACACTGCGTGATGAAGGGTGAGAATGAAGAGTGGCACGCTGCTCTGTTCATCGTCCGCTACCTGAAAAGAACAGAGAGGAGAACCCAGAACGTTTGTAGACATAGATCGACAATCGGCTGTCCACCCAGCCGGACCTTTGACGACCACCTGAAGAAGACGGCCGTCTTCGAGCTGGACGATGCGTGTCCGATAAATAGGATTAACCGCTACAATAGCTTCACAGACGGATCTGAACCGCTCTAGATCCACGGACTTCGACAGACGGAACACAAACCTTCCCACAAAGGAGTCAGGGCTCTTGCTCGATAGTGAAACGAGGCCCTCCTGCAGGGGCGTACAGGGGTAGATGTCTTCGATATGCTCCCTGGGCACCTGGCATTGGCACGATGCTGCCTCTACCGTGCTATTCACGTCGCTGATCAGCGCGAATGGGGTGGGATCCACCATAACTTCATACTTGCGAACAACCAATGCCAGCTGTATGGGAGTCTGATGGAGCAGGACCTCAGCCGCTGAAAGAGACAGGCCTCGTTCTCGAGCCTTGGCTGCCAACGCAATGGCCAGAATGGAGGTGCCCCCAAGGGCAAAAAAGGGGCTATGGCTGACAGGTCTCTCCTGGCGTAGTCCCAGAACTTCCTTGAAGAGGCTGCATATTGTCGCCAATGGCTCAGTGTCTTCTTGGTCTGCTAGTTCCTCTCCGTAAGGCCTGGAGGGAGCTTCGGCCAATTCTTGCAACGCCTGACTCAATAACAGTCGGCGGTCGACCTTCCCTGTGGGCCCGAGTGGAAATCGCTTCCAGGGGAGATACAAGGTGGGAACCATGAATGGGGGCAACCGCTCGGACAACCAGGCCTGGAAATCGGACATGGAAGGATAAGAGCTTGTATCCTCTCCCACCTGCACGAAAAGTGTGAGGATTTTGGTATTCTTCGTCGGAAGAACATCAGCTATGGCACTGGTATCCGCACGCAGCTCTCGGGCGCAGTGCTCTATCTCCTGTAATTCGATACGCTGCCCATTCACCTTCACTTGCAGATCTTTGCGGCCGACAAAGCGTAGTGTGCCATCCTCCACCTTGTATTTGACCAGGTCTCCGGTTTTGTAAAACCGTGCATCAGAGGATAGCCCAAACAGCGAGGCCCACGGGGGACGCTCAATGAACGCCTGCTCTTCCGGCCGATTCCTATACCCTCGCGCGACGATAGGGCCGCTGACTACAAGCTCCCCTGTTTCACCGAGAGGCTGCAGCCGGTCGTGATTTTCCGGATTGACGACCCAGCATTGGCCTCCGTATGATCGACCGATATTGTATGGATCCGATCCTTCCACACGAGACTGCACCGTACTCACGATACTGCATTCGGCCGGCCCATATGCGACGAGCAGCTGAACATGCTGGGCCCACGTGGACACATCATCCAGATGCAGGGATTCTCCACCAAGAACGAGAGTCTTCACATTCGGGATGGCCTCTGGCGCGAGCGATTTAGCCACTGAAGGGGTCAACTCCAGCCAATTCGCCCTCAGCTGTCGGATGGCGGGGGCAAGATGATCGAGGCGCTGTGATTCCGATGGCACGCACACACAGCCGCCCACAATCAGGGGAGCCAGCATCTCTTGGATACTGATGTCAAATCCGTACGAGGCGAATTGCATCACGCGACTATCGGCGTTGAATTTCTGGGCCTCGCTGTGCGCCAGGACGCTTGCTAAGAAGGATCGGTGCTCTACCACGATTCCCTTGGGTTTGCCTGTAGACCCAGAAGTGTATGCGATGTATGCTGCGTTCTCCGGGATAGATGGACCGGCGACAATGAAGTCCGTCGAACAAAGGGAAGAGATCTTGCTGTCTGTAACGACCAAGGTATGTGCGTTCTGGCCCAGTCGTGTGCTGAGGTTCTGGTTTGAAGGCGAGGAGATGATGATTTGGGCCTCGACGTCAGCATAGATGTCGGCCAGACGCGCTTCAGGATAGGATGGATCCAAAAGTACAAACGCTCCGCCGGCTTTCAGTACTGCCAGAATAGCGACGATCGTCCATCGGGATTTCTCGTAACAGACCGGCACCACCATCTCTGGCTGGATTCCCGCGGTCTGGAGTTCTTTCGCCAACCCATTGGATAGTTGGTTCAACTCGTAGTAAGACAAAGTACCGTCCCACGCACAGACTGCTTCGGATGCGGGCCGTTTAGCGCATTGTTGCTGAATGAGAGTATGGATACATGTATGGACTCCTGGTATCTTGATCTGACTGTTCCATTCGTACAGAAGTCGGATGTCCTCATCGCTAATATCTCCTCTTGCCATTGACCTCCTAGGGCAATGCCTCGACTGCCAATCCGAATCCGGGGAGGGTTTTACCTGTTTGTGAGAATCTTCATATTCGCCATTCTGAGATGTAGTATCCGGGATTGCGGTATCTGATGGCTGGTCCGTCTCCCTTTGATGGGATATTTTGTTGGACTTAGCACCGTGACCCGGCCTTAACTCGTTAATAGACATTTTCTCAGTAGCTGTAAGTTCAATATTCATCGGGCCATGGTGTGACAGGGCTTTTTAAGCTTATACTCGGAGCACTAAACAGGTATATGTACCCGGTACAAGACATTTTTTTAATGTTGCCGGTTGTAGGCGCCTCACTGTGGAAACCAAAGAATCCCTCCCGGGCATAAATTACATAAAATCAATTGAATATGTCCCTACGGGGCTAGCTCATGTGGCGTCCGTACTTGGAAATAATATGAGTTCAGCCTGCCTAGTCCTTGCTTGTTGGTCATTTTCACAACTCTGGCTGCAGCTCTCCGTACAGGATTGTGTCTATTTGGAATTGTGATCATCATTAATGACGCGATATACATGCTGCCCAAGCGTGATCATTCCTGGTTTGGATAGTGCAGCTTGTAGGGGCACTTTCTCTAATATCTTAGTACATGTTGTCCAATCGGATACTCATGTTTCTGTAATAGAATCCCTTGCGTACTGCATGGCTCCCTGCTTGAAGAAACTCCTGATGGTTCCTTCCCACATTCTTTGAGTCAAATATGCATAAGCATCTTCTACGCCCACTCGACCAAGGTTAACAGGCTTGGTGCGATGTTTTTTTACTCCTCCTCTGCTATGGGGATGTTGAGTGTGCGTGTGTAACCCACATTTTGACGTTCTCACATTCGGGAAGGGGACCGCTTGGCCTGCCCGTGGATACAAGCTCACATGGCCTTTGCCTCATGGAATGTGGACGCTTTTCGGCGGAATAAAATCTCTCGTGTATGGTGAGATGTTTCAAGCACGATGCAGGGTAAGTCTCGGTTACATTCATTGCACGTGGTTCAGCTCCCTTGTAGCGACATGACATGTCCCATGTACAGCGAGGTTGTGTGAGCACGATGCAAGGTAAAGTACTAGACTAGCTCCCTTGCGGTGAGATGAATCATGTACGGTGAGGCTGCCTAAGCATAATTTATGGTAAGTTTCAGTTGTAGCCATGTCATACGGTTCAGTGCGGACTGGTGGTGTACAGGGCACAGGGAGCTGTGCTTTAGATAAGCGTAAGGGACGTAATGGTATCCCACTATATAGAGTGACAACCTTGGGGTTTTAAGATCCCCATACTTTGTATCAAGTACTAATAGACAAACGGAACTCAGAAAGAAAGATAAGCTATACGTGTCATCGGATTGTAGGGTCCTTTTTCACCTATGTTCACGGTTTCCTGTCCGCAAAGAATAAACTTCATGACTCGCGAAGGCCACATTTCAGATCTTCATCAAGACGGACTATAATTTCCGCAAACTAAGCTACGGGAAATATTTTCGTCCTCCTTGCAAGAAAGATTATCGACCTTGCAGGCGTCGCCGGATCCTGCAAACCATACTTCCACCATCCTGGACAGTGCCTACGGAACAGCCGTTCTATCGGACCTGATTCACAATGTTCTGTAGTCCCAGCGAACATCGAACGGGGACCCAAATTGCAGTGATATATTTGCCCCTTTGCTCACTTGCGCGAAGGAAGAGGTCCGGGGGAGGGGCGGCAGAATACAAAGGAAACTGTTGGATTCACAAGACACTGGGCTTCCGGCCGAGTCCCTTACGTCCCCGGGGGTTTCTGTATGTACATGCGGGCACCGACAACAACGTACACGGCCAATCCTTGCTGTGGTGCGGTGACAGTCATCGTAACCGATCAACAAGCTCCTCAGACACACAGTCTTGAGGATTACGAGTCCTCCGCCTCCTCTGGCAAGTCCTAATGGTAATAAATGGTGAGATACGGTCCCTTTTTCTTCGTATAAGAAAATGAAAGCCAGGCCTGATGGTCCGTGGCAACGTCCAAATCCTTGCCAGGACTGGGCTATAGGTCAGCCGAAGGGTACCGAAGGACGAGAAACAGGGGAAAGAGGAAATGTAGCAAGCCGCAACATTACTTACTAGTAGGACTTGAGGTTATTGGTGTAGGCAGCAGACTGATTTTGCATACGATGACGCTGAAAGAAGGCAGTCAACGCGTTGGCGATTCTCATTTCCGGATCCCGGTGAGAGGGTAGTTTAACTTCGGCTTGGGGTGAGGTTTCCCCGGACTCATCTCATAGTTTAGCAGACATGACATACGTGTTTCTGGATCTCCAGGCTGAGTCGGTCTGTCGGAGAGAGACCGCTTGCCTTCAACGATGCATAAGTCTTTCCACAGCTCGCGGAGCATCTGCAACCCCTCCAGAGTCTTTTGGTTGGTAACCATACCACTCAGAGTCCAGTTTTCGGTTATCTTTGTAAAAGTGACTTCTACCTCAGCAAAATACACCTTGATCCGGGTCTGGAGAGGATTGATTAGGTCGCAGGAAGCAAAGTAAAGATCTGCTATGCTCTGATGCTGCATGTGGGTTTGGAGAAGCTGACATGCGGCTTCGAATTGACATTTTTGGTCGATCTTTGCAATGGCAGCAATATAATCTGCGCAACAGATTGTCCAGTGACCCGCGCTTCAATTTCGGTGAGTCGTGATGTGAATTACTCACTGAGCAAGCCTGAGCGCCCTCAGTAAAGCGGCGATGTCTACAACAGGAGATTTACGATAATGTAGAAATACAGGTACGTATAGTGACATAAAACTTAGTCAGAGACATACCAAACACCATACACCATAGAATAAAAATCCATGAATACTCATCATCATTATCACTACCAACATACATGCCCATACCCATACCCATATATCAATACTTATATACATATATACTATCGACAACATATCCTAAACTCGGTAAAACATTTTGCTTCTCAAAATAGTACCCTGTTTGGGAATAGCTAACTATTAGTAGTTCCTTATAGTATTGGCTTGGGTAGCGGAGCCCTATGGGGAAGGCGGAGCGATGCAAGTTTGCAGTGATTCGCTTGGCTTCGGATCTGCGAGCTGATTAGCCGCCGTGGACATAGTATTCATCGGCAACGTTGAACCGAGATCGGGTCTAACAGACCAGATGTTGACATTGAATGCCCTGCACTATCTGGGGTTGGTCAGTAGACCTAGTGGTACTACATAGCCCAATACCCATCATGCTCAAGTCTGTGAATGCAAAAGCTCGCCGATCATCTGATAATATATAGTGTCGATGACTGAAGAGGTACATGATCTGTAGCTACTTTGTAGATAATCATCAAGATGCGGGCGATACTGGTGATAGAGAGCAAGGTGCGTAATGTGCGCCGATTAAGCGACGGACTTACAGAAAATCGGTACATGGTCTGGTAAAATGGCAGGCTACAGTGACTGTCCGACATGCATCGTTAATTGATTCGGTCCTGGAACTTCCTTGAAAGCTTTAGGGACTTACGGAAGACCGACGATTGATATTGAGGAAAAAAAGAAGCAAATTCCTCACATGGAATGTTAGACTTAGTCTATTGAGATAATACGACTAGAACACCATCTTACACATAGAATACCGGGGTAAAATCGCAACAGTGTGTCCCCCTAATATATGACAAGGATGAGGACCTAAGACAGAATCTTTCTGGTGAAAGATCGGAGATTCGGAGTAAAATTTACACATGCTGCCCGCTTAGGGGTCGATGACATTCACTGCACAATTCTTGGGGAATCCGACGCTTCAGTAGAACCCGAGGGTACCTCGGAAAGGGAACCCGAAGATATACATATTTTGTAGTTTGTAAAATCCGTTGGACAGTCTGATAGTTATCCCGAAATAAGTCAAACAGTGTCCGTCTATCGCACCTGCTCTCCCGGGGATACAGTGAGTGTAGATAGCCAACTGACGGTTGGGCTGTGCACCGCCGGATTGGATCCGACTGTAAAATAGGCCGCGGAGGTGGAGCTGTTTAAAATCTTCCTGAATGCCAATCTACACACCTAAGTTACATCAATTTGTCAAAACCGAATGTCATCGATACATTATCACTGTCATCATGACTAGCCACTTCTCATAAGCGTCATTATAACGGCATCATATCATAGTCAGATGCTGGCCTTTTCTACTCTAGATACCCGCAACATGAGTGGCGGCACATCCCATGTTCCCCATGAACGAAGACCTGTGAGCCAGGGGCTGGTATCATTAGACGCGAGTTCGCAGTTGAACTCTGTTGCAAATTTGCAGAACACCACCTTTGTCATGCCATATGCCATGCTATTTACATGTCAATCAATGTTCATGTATGATAGGTAATAAGTCAACTCACTCTTGGCCAATACAACCCCGCGGTCCTGTCGAAAAGGGATGACATGCCGCTTTGATATCTTTCTGGTACGGGCCTTCTGCACCCTCTAGCCATCGATCAGGAATAAATCTGTCAGGGTTCCAGAAGTGGGTTGGTGAATGTGTGGCTGCATAAATTGGAATATAGACCCGTGTGTTTCCTGCGACCCAGTGACCAGCTATGGATGCCCCACCTGCAGGGGTAACACGATGTATAGCCCCAGGGATCGGGGGGTACATTCTTAAAGCCTCCTTGATACAAGCATCCAAGTAAGCAAGCTTCGATACCGATTCCAGAGAGACCTCCTTCTTATCGTGGTAACTTGTGCGAATCTCGTTTTTGAGACGCGCAAAGCACTCGGGGTGCTGGAGGAGGCACGCAGTCAAAAATGTCATGAGGCCCAGGGTTGTTTCTGCTCCTCCAAGCATCATGATGTGAGCATTGGCACGAATGTCCTTTTCAGTCAAAGCTGAGCTGCGACTGTTGCGAAATGTAAGACCGACAAGGTCAGGCTCGTCGCTTTGGATCTGAAGTCGATGGTCTATGAGGTCATTCGAAGGCTTGAAGTAAGCCTTGCGGAGCCATTTGGACATCCAGGGTATGCTCCACCGGAGCAAAAGGTTGATCCAGGTGAAGTCAGCGAGAGCTGATAGTAGAGTCGACGCTTTTAATAATTCGGGCTGGCTGTGTACCCACGATTTACGTGCCCCTGTTCGCAAGACGCCCATTTCCTCACCGTACTGAAAATGCCCAACAATTTCAAAAAGTGTATAATGGAACATATCGCGTATATTTGTGACTTGCCCTTCCATTCCGGAAAGGGTTTCAATGAGAGCGTCGCCATACTTGGCTAGGATTGGTTCCTGGCGAGCTAAGGCTCGCCGTGAAAATGCTGGCGCGTAGGCTCTCCGGATCCTTGGGTGATCAGTCTCATCGGCTGCTAGGATAGAGGGCCGATTGTCATCATCTTCGAGATATCTGAAGAAATCAGACCCTCTCTTCATACTTTGTGGCACCGTGGGTGAACTGCTATATATATCTTTCCAGGCTTGTTCGTCGATAAAGCTCATCTCATTAGGAGCCACACGTACGACAGGTCCATACTTCAGATGAAGGTTATGGAGCCACTGTGTTTGAATACCTTTTAGAGAGGCATAGGTTACGGGGATCCTGCTGGCGGCTAGCGTTCGCGGGCCGGGAAAGTCTTTCAGTGGATGAATAAACAGGTTATAAGTAACCACCGACAAGTACTATAGGCCAATCTCCAACTTAGCTCTGTCGATCGCTTATGCAGTTTCTCGGAGATAACAGCCTTTGGCAACATACCAAGAGTATTACTGTTGCCACAATAATGTTAATCGCGTTGTCTTCCGCCATCTTAGCTCTGAGTATAACATGCGCAGATTCTCTTAACAAGTCCATGAAGAAGCTATGTGAAAAGTTGAGCGAGGTAGAGGACAGACAGAGTGATTATTGCAGGACAGTGAATTGACTGCTCCGTGGAAGAGGAGAGGTTGACCAGATATGCTTGAGCCTGAATAACTGTACCTTGATAAGACATTGGATGTTATCAATATCTAATATACCAATGACAACTTTATAACAGGACGAACCAGGGATATGAAGAGATACTGGTGTGAGGTTGCGCAACCAAACAAATCACTCTCTATACTCCTTGCAGAAACTACTACCGCTGTGACCACAAGAGATACCCGGACCATACCACAGTCCAGGGCTGTATGCCGACCATTTAATCACAGTGCTCAAATAGTATGGATGCAGCTCTGTCATACAAGGCTCTGTATACCAGTGAGGTCAATCGCAACCCCCCTTGCTTAATCCGACCTCAAGAGCCATGCTGGTCGAACCACAATAATCGTCGTTATCAAGAGAATCATATCTAATACATGATTCTCTCGATATTCATAATCAAGCGTGGGAAGTTGGGAATCATTGTAGATAGGAAGCACATTATATCAGGGAAAATCTTTGTGGCTCGGAGACTTTAAGAAAGAGCCTCCATCGACCGCAAAGATTACCATGTTGAGAGAATGCATATCTATAGATAGCCATGACCCAACACTTGCTGATCTTTCTCTGTTCTCTGTATGCTATGCATTTACTATATCTTACAACCATCGCATGAACTCTATATAATAGCCCAATCGTTTCCTCTACATCATCTTACACAGCATAGCCTTTTCTGCATGTCTACATTCTATGACAGTATTACTCGCACCACGTCAGTGTAACACAGCTGCGTACATATCCCTGGGCTCACCCCAATGCTAATTGCATCAAAGAACATGGCAATATTGAATTTCTTCGAAGCGACAGACACCATTATGGTCTCACAGAATGCGCAATCAATCCGATATGACAACCTCATGACGTAGGGAAATCCTCCTTGCGAAAGACTCCATTAGTACCGACTTAGGAAAGGCAGACATACTGGACTACATTTAGATAGCTTCCCAACACCTATTAGTACATCCCACAACTCCATGGTTATCAGCACAGCACCGCAACAATGACAAAAGCCCAACCCCCAGTATCACCAGATGAATTTCTTAAAATCATCACACCCTTCTTGAACGAAATCTGCCCCAACCTCCCACCCTTCGCGCCCGACGAAGCCTTCAAAAAAGAAGTCTTCAACAAATTCGCAGCTGCCTCCGGCCTCCCGGAGGACACCATCCCCCACTTCGTCGACACAGGAGAAGTCCTAACACGATGCTTCTACCCCAGCCTCCCCCGAGATTTACAGATATCGATAGGTGTCCTAACAACATACGTCTTCTCGATCGACGACCAATGCGCAGACCCCGAATTCTGCGAGCAGCTTAAACCCTACCGCTCCGTCTTTCTTGGCCAATCCATCACCAACCTCCAATACATCAAGGGCCTATACAACACCCTTCACGATATAGTTAGTCACTATGAATGGTATGCTGGCGACATGATCATCAAATCAACCATGGACTTTGTGAGCATCAATATCGTAGAGGCAGAGCGGACGGGTGATTTTGTGGTCTCTCCTTCTACCAAGTTGTTTCCGGACTTCTTGCGAGGGAAAAGTGGTATTGGGGAAGCTTATGCGTTTTTCTACTTCCCTGAGAGTGACTGGAAGTTGGGGGATTATTTTACGTTGATCCCTGATATAGCGGGAATTATTGAGCAGTTGAATGATGTGTTGTCGTTTTATAAGGAGTCTGTTTTGGGAAACGAACCCGGGACGTGGATTAAGCAGACTTCTGTTTGCAGGGGGATTTCTGAGTATGAGGCTTTCCAGGAGAGGGTGGATCAGTGCTTGGGTAGTATCCGGAGACTGCGTGCTGCATGTGAGGGAAATCGGAGACTGTTAAAGACAGCCAATGAGTTTATCAATGGGTATCCTCTATTCCATCTTAACGCGGGGAGGTATAAGCTGGATCAGTTTGGCAGTTATGACGGCTGGCTGAATGAGAAAGCCGTTGGTGGAAATTAGAGCACTCGATAGACCAGAGCATCTAGGATCTATCGAATGTGATGGTGGTGGAACTAATTCAAAGACTTCAATCCTAATAATAGTACACTTATGTCAGCACCATGAGGAGAGATATTCATTGCAATCTGGGTGCACACACGACTCTGTATACTAAGGCAGCGTGAGAGGGACAGGGCCGCGATACTCATACTTTCACAGCAAGACTAGGATACCGTCTAAGAGGCCTGATAGATGGCAGCCCTTTGATTCCATTCCTGATCACGAGGTGTAGGCAAGTGTCACACTTCCTCCAAGAAATATTCACTTATTTCCAAGCCGAGATTTAGATTAGGTGGGAAGAATGACCCTATAATCTGCCCTGTGCTTGGATCATAAGGAAGGCCCTCATCATAAGTATCCTGAGCGTTGGTATCCTTGTCCGTTTGCATCAGACCAGGAATTTCTGGAGAAGGTTGGCACTTTACATGGGCTTCCAGAGAGTTTGACGGATTCAAAAACGGTGAAGGACCGCTTCCAAATTCACTGGACGGCGGGTCTGGTGTAGACGAAGGTCCGGTCGGTCTAGGTCCAGACTGAACAGAAATGCCGACATCACTTGGGATAGGGTGAAAAGGCAAATTCACTCCTGCATATTGCTCGATACGGCGGAGAAGGCATTGGCATAGTAAGCGAGCTTTCTCTGAGGCTGCGTTGGTCTTTGCTAGTATAGCAAGCCATTCAAGGGCTCTTTCAGTCGCCTTAGAAACCATTGAAGCTTTCTCTGGAACGTGACAAACACCAAAAGACAGCTCTATTAGAAGGACTGTGGTTGCTTGAACAAGGAAATGCAGTATACACCACCACGGTGACATTCTGTACAGTGCAACAGCATCTAGTCCTTCGGGAAATAGCCTCAGCATATGGCAAGCCGATTCAACGCACTCAGCTGCTGTTCTGTGACAGAAATCCTGCATTTTCTCATCTGAAACCTTGCCTTCCTGCTCCGCAGGATTAGGACGGCGAAGGCATGGCCGTGTTATGCCAATTTTGGTGCTATAGAATAAAAATGCCAGGCTCATCCGGTGGGTAGATATTGAATGAGTGACCTGTGAGGACTGTGTTGATGTAAAATCATAATCTTTAGGAAGACTCAAAAGCCAAGATTCGATGTCAGAGGTGAGACCTTGTATGGCAAACTCCGTCCCTATCCAAGATGTGCGCGCTGCTCCGGGACTGTAGAGCTTGATTGTCATTTTCTTTGATATCAGCGTGAGCAGAATGACATGGAGGAAATGCAATGATCCACAAGGAGGACTGGCAGTTGCGCCTGTAGCCTTTGGGGTAGCTATCGAGTGTTTGGCCTTCAGATCAAAAGTTAAACCGTTGCCTTCAGTCCCGTGTGACAGACGGAGGCAGTTTATCACTTCATCCCTTTCGAAGTTCTCTTCGTCAACTGGAACAGGCAGGGGTATCGTATGTATAGTATCATCTATGAAAGACGGCCGTCCGGTGACCATGCTAAGTCGGTGATCAAGCATGTAAAGGGACCACCATACGCGATATCGGATCTCCCTAGAAGTATCCGAAGCCGACTTGCTCATGTTGCGCAGATGCAACCCAAGACCAAGGGCTCCACGAACAGCACCCCCACAAATCCTCCAAGCACTTGAATCATTTGTAAGCACTGACATGCATAGGTAACTTGTACATACGGACATAGATGTACGTACCGGTTAATATGCCCCAAAGAAAGCATATACAACGCTGTTAGCCCTTCCACTTGTAATTGCTGTAGGTCAGGATGGTGAAAACTCCCGTTATCCATACTCAAGACCGTTGCTCTTGAGAAATACAACCAGTGATTATTCTTGTTCAATTGCCATTCTGCTTCAGAGATATAAGCATACCTAGCAGCGATTGCAAAGACTACGTTCAAGACTGCGAGCCACTTGTTTCCTGGGCGTAGATTGGCATTGTTGAAGAATGCACGGAACTGTGCTCCGAATGGTGTGGTCCCAATAATTGGAAAAGAGGGATGCACCCAGTCCAAATAGCAGTTGTAGAGCTTTGAAGCTATATCCTTTGACGGCAGTGCATAAGGCTCTTGTCGCTCGATACTTGGTAGCTCTTGATCATCAATATGGTAATTCGAAGCGGATATAAGACTACCATCAGCGTATTGCAGTGATATAGGTTCTTTGGGAGTCTCATATCCAGTCCCACCGTTGATATCTCGGCCTAATGAATGTATCCATGCAATTTCGGAGCTTTGGCCAATGTAACCCGTGGCCTGGGAAACTTCGTCCTTATTAAAGTCTTCACTGATACAATCAACGCAGTGGCTGGAGTCAACGAATGGTTGCAACTGGGAGTTGGGCGTTGAAAGAGGTCTTTGATTTCCGAGGAAGGGTGTTTGCCCATCAGCGGACAAGGTAGGACTGGAGGAGTCCTCCTACTTCCAGTCAGTATAAAAGCTTGGAGCAGACAGAGCGAAGTGGACATAGCGGGCTCGATCGGAACAAGAGATATGGCTAAGACTAAAGAGATGCGAGGAGTTTGTGTCTATACCACTGTCAATGCCAGGTTCATCAGCTGCTCATTCGTAAGCCCAAATCTGTTGCTCAGATTCCTCAAAGCGTCTTCGTAGGTCCGTATTTTGGCCTCCAAACTAGCCAATTGCCTTGGTGTACCAATTTCTCTAGAATCAGTTGAGGATCTCGCTAGTCAGATGAAAACACACCTCTTGGATTTCTCCCTTTTACCATCTGTGTAGCAGCAGATGATGCCAGCCTCACGGCAGTTGCGACAACCGGACTTATCCCCTGTGCACTTTGTCTTTCTCTGTCTGCAGGATTCGCATGCTCGGCTCACGTGGCGACGATGGAATCTACCAGGGGTTGAGAATGTTTCC